AACACAAATGAAACAAATGGAGACAGAAAAGCCTTTATCTCATTTACGAATCTCCGGTATTTCATTATCACGGGCGCCCGCTGACCCAAAAAGAAAACTCAATCCACCGGGCTAAAAGGTGTTGTTCGTTGCCGGCCGCACCTGTCGCTCTCTTTTTCTTTTTTTCTTCTTTTTTTTTTTTTTGCCGCCGGAACAAATAGAAATAATTTTATTGTATCGACCTAGGGCGTCATGTGTTTGGTCAGATTACTGCGTGATTCGATTGTTTGTTTGTTTGTTTGTTTGAGTAAAGAAAAGACACATCGACCGACACATTTATGGTCATTTACTGCTGGGGAAAAATTAGTCAGATATACTGAAACAACAGAGGGGAAAGGAAAGAAGTAGGACCTATCAGTGGCGCCCTCCAACCACCCGCACTGCGTGATTTGAGACAATGTTTTCACAAAGGCTAGTGATACAGTTTAGCTTTAGTAAATTTTTTACTGCGCTTGCAACACAAATAGATCATATATTAAGTGCCGAAGATTAATTTTAGTTTCAGTAAGAGTTTTACGGCATTTGCAATGCAACACAATTAGGTCATATAAGCGCAGATGATTTGAGGTGTTACAAGAGATTGACAAACACAAAAAGGAAAGAGGAGCGATCAGGACGACAGTTGATGTTTGATAGGAAAGACGGACCAAACCACACCAGAGCACCCACCAACCATCCACTAAAGAGAGTTTTGCGGCACTTGCAACACAAAAATGTCATATATCAAGTGCCAAATATTAGAGAGATTACTAGAGACACAAAGAAAAGGAGGAGAGACAAGACGATAGACGTATAACGGGAGAGAAGAATCAAACCAAACTAGAGCGCCTGCTAACCACCCACAAAGACAGATGGAGGTCTGATATGGCAGGTCGAGAAAGGAACACCGACACACAGCTACAAGGAAGGCAAAGTTCTAGTAGAGATTTTAAGGCGCTCGCAACTGCATAAGGTCATATGAGCGCCAGAAGATTAGAGGAGTTACAAGAGAGTAACAAACATAAAAAAGAAGGAGGGGGAAATAAGGACGATAGATGTTTGATAGGAAAGAAGGAGCAAACCACACCAGAGCACCCGCCAACCACCCACAAGGAAGGCAAAGTGCGCGGCCTGAAACACAAGACAGCAGGAAACAGCAGGAGACAGCAGGAAACAGCAGGAGACAGCAGGAAACAGCAGGAGACAGTAGGAAACAAAGGAAAGAGACCTACCTACAGCAGACAACACAAATCTTCGAAGTGAGAAACAGAAAAAAGAATCCTGGAACGGACAATGGGCATCGAGTGGGAAAGAGAGAGAGAGG